TAGAATAAATGTATGAAAATTTCCCTTAGGCTAAAATTACCCCAAGAACAATTCAAGTAAACAATTTTAAGTTAATTTTAAGTTAGGGTTGATATTTGTATCAGTTGAGATAGGATAGGTGAAGTTAGGTTAATATCCAGTAACAAACTACATCAAAGGTTTGTTTCTCACTCATGTTCCATGGGTATCATAGGCTGGCAGTGGAATTCTCTTCCTTGGAGTCATTCAGGGAGCAGCCATTCTCTGCAACATTGTTGGTTGCAATGGCAGAGGCAAGTGAACCTTGGAGGGTCTTGCACAGGGACATGAAATGCTCACACTCAAAAATTACCCCGTCACCTCCACTCACAATTTATTGACCAGGACAAGTCACAGGTGCGAGCCCTCCCCTGGCACTACTGGCTTGGGTGATGAAAGCAGTAAGTATTTAGCAAACAATGCTAATAATGACTGTCATACTTCGTTTCCTTGATTTTGAGCATTTGCGATTTAAATAAAACACAATTTTGTATAACCTTTCTTACAAAATACATTTACAAAATATGATTGTTCTCACAACAGCTCTGATGGGAAACATGCAATTAAAGACTTGAATAAGATCAAATAGAATGAATAATAGTCAAATAATCAGAGGTGGAAATGGAAAGACATTTCAAATCTCTGTAGCATTAGTACTGGTCGAAGCTTTTTTTTTGAGACGGAGTCTTGCTCTTTTGCTCAGACTGGAGTGCAGTGGCACGATCTTGGCTTACTGCAACCTCTGCCTCCCAGGTTCAAGTGGTTCTCCTGCCTCATCCTCCAGAGTAGCAGGGATCACAGGTGCGTGCCACCACACCCAGCTAATTTTTGTATTTTCAGTAGAGACGGCATTTCGCCATGTTGGCCAGGCTGGTCTCGAACTCCTGACCTCACATGATCCACCTGCCTTGGCCTCCCAAAGTGCTGGGATTACAGATGTGAGCCACTGTGCCCAGCCTGAAGCTTATTTACTCCAAATCTGTAGAGGTAAATTACACAGGGTGGGGGAAGCAACAATCATATTTTAAAATAAAATCATTGCTGCAAGTTTAATTGCATCCAAGGACAAAATTTCAAATTCAGTCTCTCTCTTTTTTTTAAAGAGACAAGGTCTCGCTTTGTTGCCCAGGTTGGAGTGCACTGCAACCCCGAACTCCTGGGATCCAGTTATCCTCCCACCTCAGCGTCTCAAGTCGTTGGGACTACAGGCATGCAGCAGGATGTCTGGCTAGTCTTTTTTTTTTTTCTTTTTTTGTAGAACAGGGGTCTCACAGTGTTGCCCAGGCTGGTCTTGAATTCCTAGCCTCAAGCTATCTTCCTGCCTTGGCCTCCGAAAGTGGTGGGATTAAAGGGATGAGCCGCTGTGACAGGCCTAAAATTTCTCTAGGTCAGTGTTTTGGCAATTATCCTGGTAACACAGAGAAGGGACATCTGGGCTAGCAATTCAGGACAGAGCAACCTGAACTGTGGAAAAAATACATCCTAGTATCCCAGGTCCATGTTTTAGGCATGAGGCCAAAAGTAGCATACAGATACTTTTCTAGAAAATTGCTGATTCTGAGTATACAAAAATGTCCATATCTAATTTTAACAACAAATGATTCATTAATGAGTATTAATAATTCTGCAGTTATACATACCACCCACCCATTCAAAGCCCTATGAATTGTTTTGGGTATAATTTTCTGATAGCCAGTGGTTTTCAGCAGATGGTTCAATTCTTTAAAACATAAACTGAACTGGGTACAGTGGTGCATGCCTGTTGTCCTAGCTACTCCAGTGAGGCGGGAGAGTCACTTGAGCCCAGGAGTTCAAAGCTATAGTGCACTATTATCACACTTGTGAATAGTCCCTTCACTCCAGCCTGGGAAACATAGGGAGACCCTGGCTCTAGAAAAAAATAAGTAAATAAAATAAAATATAAACTGAATAAAGAAGCAGCTCAACTTACTGAATGTATGCAGTGCTGTATCCCCTTGATTATTTTGTACACTGTGCAGTGATCTGTCATGCCACGTCAACCTCTGTGGTGAATTCTTTTTCATTTTTTAATTTTTTGTCAAACCAAATAATGATTTCCTTTACACATTATTCACATTTTTAAAAGCTTTTATTTTAGGTTCTGGGGTACATGAACAGGTTTCTTATACAGATAAACTGCGTGTTATGAGAGTTTGATGTACAAATAATTGTGGTTTTTTTTTTTTTTTTTTTGAGACGGAGTCTTGCTCTGTTGCCCAGGCTGGAGTAGGGCAACGCGATCTCGGCTCACTGCAAGCTCCGCCTCCCGGGTTCACGCCATTCTCCTGCCTCAGCCTCCTGAGTAGCTGGGACTACAGGTGCCCGCCACC